CCTCAGCCCCGGACCGTGGGAGCCCGGGAAGCGCTCTCCGCGCCGGCCCGAGGCCCCGGGCTGGGGTCCCGGGAGCGCCAGGCCGGGGGCCCGGATGCGGGGGTCAGAGGTCCGGAAACTGACAGGCGACCTGGCGCACGGGTGCCTGTGTGACCGTGCGCTGGGCACTGGCGCTGAACCCACTTAGCCTCCTGACACCCTCTCCACTGTGGCCTGGAGTTTGGTAGAACACGAATTCAGAGCGAGCAGATTCTCAGCTTTCTGTCCTATCTCCGAGGTGACAAAAACGGCCGGTGCTCTCCCTCCGTCAGTTGCGTCGTTTGCTAGCCAGGGCACCCCACCCATTGTCTTTGCATCTGTTTTGTTTGTTTTGCACAATCTTTGTTTTTTGGCCCAGGACTTAGCCTGGTGTCTGCAAGTTCAGCGGGCGCTGTGCTTTAATCTCTGCAGAACCTCAGCTCTGGGTAAAAAGGAACCATTGGTTCTCTTTCCGTTCAGCTATTGGACATGGACTTGATTCACCGCGCGGTTCTGCGCACATTTCCATGGACCTCACTGATACTGTTCATTAACATTTCAAAGTGTTTTTGCATTTCATGGTTTCTTGCCTTTTCCTTCTGGAAAGTTGGATCATTTTTAACATTAAAATGAGATTTTTGTATGTGTGTAAAACCATAATACCCGGCTGGGAATTAAAATCTTGTCTCAGGTTTTGAATATTTTGTTGAGGTTATGCTTAGGTATGGGATTATACGGTGCTGCTAGCAAAGTAAAAAAATGCCCTTCCTTGTGAGTCTACTATAGCACACAATATATAAGTAACCATGTCTCAGATCTCTCGAGGAGTGCGTACCTGGTACCACCTAGATGCCAGGGGGTGAAGTTCATGACATACAGTGGACGCCTGAGGGCAGGAGGGCTTAATTCTCTCAAGGAACCCTGATTGAGAAAGATGACAAACGGGGGGAAAATGGAAGGGTGGATTTTTAGTTCAGAGTGGAAATTTGGAACATTCAAAACATTGAGAGGTAAAATGTCTTTAATTTTCTTGGAAGACAGTTTTACTTTTTTTTTTTTAAATATGCTCACCTAAGGATATGTTTATTGATTCTGGAGAGAGAGGAAGGAGAGAGAGAGAAACAGAGAGATTGATGTGAGAGAGACACATCGATTGGTTGCCGTGGAGTTGGCTCCGCTACTAGGACAGGATCAGACCCAAAACCTGGGTATGTACCCTGATCAGGCATCTAACTTGTAACCTTGGGATTCTGTAACTTTCTGTGTCCCTGGCTCTTTGCATAGTTAACTTTACCCCAGAGTTTTGCTCAGATATCACTGTCTTACCCACCCAGACTAGATAGGATGGGCCTGCCCTGTGCCCTCAGTGTTTAAATCACGGTTCATCTTTCCAGTTTTTTGGTTTGTTTTTTCTCCCTAGGGTCTGGGTCTGTTTAACTTTGCCACTTGATCTGTAATAATCACTCAGTATTTCAGTGAATGAAGAAGTGTTTAGTGGCTGTTGGGTTTCAGCTTGATGTTTAAGGCCTACAGTTAGGGAACTTGACAATTTATTTGTGATTAGCTACTGTTATTTTAAGATTTAAAATATCCTGGGGCTGATGATTTGGTTCAGTGAATACCTTATTGTCAGTTTGCCTGGACCGAAATAACTTTACAGAACTGAATCTTATGCCTTTATTGTCTTTATACTTTATATATTTTAAGTCAGATGCGTACATATGGAATGTTTATAATTGAAGGTCCCATAAGAATTGATAAGTATAATCAAAGATACTTTATACAAACTGAAAATTTTAAGGTTTTTGTTTAATGCACACATTTTCTTTGTTGGGGTCAAGTGGATAATCTGTTTTTTGTTTTTAATTCTTTTTTAATCCTCACCTGAGGATTTGTTTTTATTGATTTTAGAGAGAAAGGAACATCAATGTGAGAGAAACATCAATTGGTTGCCTCCTGTACACACCCTGACCCGGGATTGAACCCACAACCTGGGTATGTGTCCAGACTGGAATCGAACCCACGACCCACAACCTTTCTGTGTATGGGACAACACTGCAAGCAACTGAGCCACACTGGCCAGGGCTTATTTTTAATTCTTATATTGATAATTATATTTACTCACATAGAGGAGTTGTTTTTTTTTCTCTTCCAAATTTAATTCAACAGGTAATAAGCATGTACTATGTGCCAGGTTACTAGGCCTGGTGGAAACTTTTTTTTTAAAATTTATTTTAGAGAGAAAAACATCAGTTTGTGTTATTTATGCATTCGTTGGTTGATTCTTTTATGTGCCCTAATGTGAGATTGAACCAAAAACCTTAGTGTATTGGGATGATGCTCTAACTAATGGAGCTACCCGGCCAGGGCAAGGAAACACCTTTTGATCTTCCCAGGAAGGGCAAATTTGAGCTGATTCAGGACACTGGGGAGTCTGACTCAAATGCCATATGTGTGTGTGTGTGTGTGTGTGTGTGTGTGTGTGTGTGTGTATTTTGGTGGTGATGCTAAGGCTGGCCCCCTGCAGCCTTAGATTTCAGCTTTTTCTGCTCTGGGTGTGTCTTGTTTTTACTGGTTAAAGCCTTAAAACTGATTTGCTGTCTTTTTAGAGAGATTTCAGGAAGGAGAGTAGAGATTAGTGATTTTCCCAACCTGCTTACCAATCTTGAAGCTATAAGAGCTGGAGGAAATGGAAGAACAGTTCTTCAGGCTTCTGTTAGTAACGGGCTTCTGCCTACTGGGATGCACTTCTGACCCTCCTCATCTTTAAATGTTCCTGCAAGTTGTCATTTGGAAAGCTCCTACATACTCTGAACAATAAGGAACAGTAGGAATAAGCCCAGAGTCAGAATTAATTGTTTGATAACAAGTATCTAGAGATGTTAAAGCTGTCCTGAGTCGTCGAGGGGATTTTGCAGCTGTTTGAGTAGCCACAGTTCACCAATAAACACAGGGTGAATGTGGTCTGTAGGAGGGCACCAGATAACATGATTTAGATCCCGCCTGGAATTACAGAGAAGGGGATGTCCCTGATATTGAGGTAAGTGGCAGTTGTGGTTTGAAGTGACATTAAATCCTTTCTGTGTGTGTTTTCTTTCTCTCTATCCAGTCCATTGATGACTTGAACAAATGGGCCCTATTTCTTGTTTCTCCTCTTATACATGAAGCCGAACACATAGCATTCGTGACAGAGAGTGTTTGGGTGCAAGGTGAGAATCTGCAGAGATCATCTTCCTCTTCAGAAACCGTGAGTAACGTGCTTTTCACTTGTGTATTGTAAGGAAACTGTGTGTCTTAATTAAAACTAATTTCATTTTTTAAAAATAATTTCATTTTTTAAATGTTTTTATTGATTTTAGAGAGAGAGGAAGGGAGAGGGAGAGAGAGAGAAACATCAGTGATGAGACAGAGTTATTGATCCGCTGCCTCCTGCACACCCCCTGCTGGGGATAGAGCCGGTAACCGGGGCATGTGCCAGGACTGGGGACTGGGAACCTCCATCTCCTGGATCCTAGGTTGAAGTTCAACCACTGAGCTAAGCTGGCTGGGCTAAATTCATTTTCTTATGAGTGCTATTTCCTGGCCTTTGTGACTTCCTTTCTTTTTGGATATTTTGGGTTAAATTAAAATATGTTAGTGAAATTACTTTCACCTATTTTAATTTTTATTATTTATTTATTTATTTTTACTTTTTAAATGTGGCTGCTAGGAAATGAAAAACTGCCAGTGTGGCTTGTGTTTGTGGCCCTCACTATGTTATTATTGGGAAGCACTACTCCAGTCTCCCCAGGTCATTTAGTCCATCCTTACATTAAACAAAACCTTCGAGGCTGAAAGTTGTCCTGAAAGAAAGGGCTTATTGAGCCATATGCTACCAGAAAAAGGACCAGGTGGTCCTGGGACATACAGTCTAAACCACCAGCATCTGGGCTAGATGGAAGAGACGAACATGCCCACTGTCCTAGAGCCGATGGGGCTCTTTTATCTAGTGGGTTTTGGGAAAAAGATATAAGTTGTTTTGAAAGAGTTTACACTGGCCATAAATAAAGGGGGGAGGGGAAAGATGAGGAGGGCAGTTCTAGGATAGATATTTCCCACTCCTGGATTGGTTGTGGGCAAGAGTCCAGAAAGTTCATACATAAAGCAGGATGTGGTGGTATCTGGTGGTTGGCTTTTTTTTTTGATAGCCGCCTGGAAGTTGATTCAAAAATTAAAAAAAAATATTTTATTGAATTTACTGGGGTGACACTGGTTAATGACATTATATAGGTTTCAGGTGTACAATTCTGTAATACATCATCTGTATATTGTATCGTGTGCTCACCACCCAAAGTCAAGTCTCCTTCTATCACCATTTATCCCCCATTTATCTCGTACCTGCTTCTACCTCCTCTCCCTCTGGTAATCACTACACTGTTATCTGTGTCTATGAGGGTTTTTTTTCCCCTCTTAATCCTTTCACCTTTTTCACCCAGCCCTCTGACAGCTATCAGTCTAATCTCTGTATCTGTGAGTCTGTCTCTATTTTGTTTGTTAGTTTATTTTGTTCATCAGATTCCACATATGAGTGAAATCATATGGTACTTTTCTTTCTCTGACTGGCTTATTTCACTCAGCATAATACTCTTTACCTCCATCCATGCTGTCGCAAAGGGTACGATTGCCTTCTTTTTTATGACCCAGTAGTATTCCATTGTGTAAATGTACCAGTGTTTTTATCCACTCATCTACTGATAGGCAGTTGGACTGCCTCTACCCCTACTACTACCATGGCGGTCAGCCTCACCATATTCCAGCCCTCAGAATGGATACAGCCAAGGTGGGCGACAGCCAGCTTCCTCTTTAAAATTGAGATCCAGAAGTTTCAGATGTCACTTCTTTTCACATCACTTCAGCTGCAGGGGAGCCTGAGAAGTACATTCCATAGCTGGACATTTGCGGGTTCAGAGAAAACCTGGAGTTGTGTTACTACAAGGGAGAAAGAAAGACTAGATATTGGGAGATAACTAGCATCTCTGACATAGTTACCCCATTTAATTTACCTCCTAAGGAGGATTTAATTAAGATTGCACTTAATGGTGGTGGTTTAATTTTTTTTTTTTTTTTTAAATCCTCACCCGAGGATATGTTGATTTTCCGAGAGAGAAGAAGGGGGAGAGTGGGAGGAAGGGAGGGAGGGAGGGAGGGAGAGAGAGAGAGAAACATTGATCAATTTTGCCTCTTGTACTAGTCCCGACTAGGGATTTAACCTACAACCTAGGTATGTGCCCTAACCAGGAATTGAACCTGAAACCTTTTTGGTGTACAGAACAATGATCCAGTTACTAAGTCACCTGGCTGGAGTGCTTAATTCTTAATTTTCTGGGGGTGGAAAGATGTCTGCTCACCAAGGGTATTATCCAGTTAACTCATTTTGTCTGTGGTCCAGAGTCCGGTAGGCCTTATGGCCAGGAGCTGGATTTGTCTAGAGCTAGTTTTCTGACCACCCTGGTTATTACACTGAGGTCCGTTTTATAAGTTGGGTTGCAGAACCTAATAAGAAGTTGCTGTCATAACTCATGGTCTTTTCACAAAGTGTGCAGTCCTATTCAGGTTGATTGCTTGATGGGATTTTGCCTTTTGGGGGGCTCATATGAATCTATGTATATATTTTTCCACCTAGCTCTAGTCATTTGAATTTGACAGGATCCTAAGGTATTCAATAGAAAATATTTTATTTAAGAGAGACTTTTGAACTTGATGAGATCTTATACATTCTTGCACATTAAAAACATTTTTTATTGATTTTGTAAATTTTTTGTTTATTTATTTATTTTTTAAATGTTTTTATTGATTTCAGAGAGAGGAAAGGAGAGGGAGAGAAACATGAATGATGAGAGAGAATCATTGATCGACTGTCTCCTGCATACCCCCTACTGGGGACCGAGCCCGAAACATGGGCAAGCACCCTGACCAGGAACCAGAGTGTGATCTCCTGGTTCATGGGTCGACACTCAACCACTGAGCCACGGCTGCCAGACCTATTTATTTATTTATTTTAGAGAGAGATGAAGGGAGAGGGAGAGAAACACAATGTGAGAGTGTAACAATGATGGCTGCCTCCTGCATGCCTCCCCACCAGGGATGGAGCCTGAAACCCAGGCATGTGCCCTGACCGGGGATACAACTGGCAACCTTTCATTTCATGGGACGATGCCCAACCAACTGAGCTACACTGGCCAGGGCCGTGCTTTCCAATTTTTAGGACTATACAACTCTTGCAGATATTTAAAATGATACCTGTTGGAATTTGGGATATCTCATAGATGGCTTTCACGTGCCTTCTGGTCCTGGGCATTCCTTGTGGACCTGTGTTAAGTTGGTGGAGTAGACACGGCACTGCTTGCTGAAATCTGTGCAGCCTGCAGTCCTGCTTCGATGAGGAAATCCCTTTGTTTAGGGCCGACCAGCTTCTTTAGCTTTGATCTTTGGGAGTCAGCCTCTTCCTTGACTTCCCCTTTCTTTGTCTACCCTCCTTTTTCCATCTTGAGGTGCAAATTGGAAGGGCCCTGTTTACTTTTTGCCTCTGGAAGGCAAACACCCCTGAGCCCCGGAGGAGATGGGTGACAGTGCGGCTTTGCTTTGATCAGAGCACCCATCCCTGCTCGCAGGAGTTTGCATGGTCTGTGGCTTCTGGACCACGTTCCTAGAAAAAGGAAATGCATTTCGGTGAGGAAATGCTGGCCAGAGTTGAGAAACCTGATCAGGGATATGTGTATATTGTTCTTTGGCTGCTTCCTGTCCTTCCCCTGCCTTTGTTTATCTCCTGCTTCTCTGCTCTTCAGAGGTGTGTGAGAGTTAATGAAGGGCTCGTTTTACACTCGGAGCTGACTTTGGGGGTAGCTCAGCGGACTTGCCCCAGCAGGGTGCTAAATCAACGTTTGAGGGCCTGAATGCTGGGCTGGCTGTCCCTCGGCTGAGCATTTGTCCTCTTTGATTGCCAGCGATAGCGCTGAGAACAAAGATGCTTTTAGCTTCTTGCAGGAGGTTGCACTGTTGCTTTTCATGCTTTTCATTCACCCTCATCTGAAAAGGCAGCCCTTGCCAAGGTGAGAGTTTATCTTCTCATCCTGAGCTGACATCCTTCCTCCGTTCTCAGAGCTGGACATAACTAGATATTTGTGTGAAGTGTAAGCTTCACCTCTCATCTGATCAAAGATGTCGTCTTTGAAATGCAGAGTCTGATAAACATTGGTCACCCGACCCTCCGGATGACTCCTAGTCACTCTAGGGGGTGTCTGAGAGGAGGTGAGAGGAGCAGGTGACAACTCTCAAGGGAAGGCTACAAGTGGAGCTAAAAGGAAATTCAGAGACTTCTCTTCCTGTAAATATTCTAACCAGTTAACGGGTTTCAACCTTTGGACCATAGAGACCTGTGTTTATTATTTTTCTCTCTAAGACAGTGCTTATCAGCTTTTAAAATTAGTTTCCCTTAGGAGGAAAATTCAGTTCCATTTGAATTCTCTCTAGAGGGAAATGAAATACTGCAGAATAAGGTTTTATGGGGCAGGGTGGAGCTTCAGAGGATGAAACCTTTGTGATAGCTAGGGTTGCTTTCATGCCCCATTTCCCTGACCAGTTTTTGCCCACTTGGGGGTGAGGACTCTGTGGTTTGGAATAAGAGCACCCCCTTAGGGGCCAGGTGCTTTATGTGTTACCCCGTTTAGCTCTCCAAGTATCCTTCCCAGAAAGGTGCTCTTATCAACACCTCACAGACAGGAAACCAAAGCACAGAGATATCCATCCAGTGACTCACTTGGGTCACACAGCTATTAGCCAAAGGAGCCAGGATTCAACTTTGGGAAGTCAGACTCTGGAGTCCTCTTACTACCTAGGCTATCCTGGAACAGTGTGGAAACAAGCAAACTGCCCTCTTTTTTTCTTTTTAAAATTGGGATGCAATTCATGTACCATAAACATCATCCTTTTAAAGGGTATGATTACAGTTCAGTAGCTGTGCAGTCATCACTACAAAGAGAGACTATACACCCTTCAGTGGTCACTCTTCACCTCCCCCCCCCCATCCCCAGCCCCTGGCAACCACTGAGCCATAAATTGGAATGTTTTGGATATTTCATACAGATAGAGTCATGTAATATGTGACCTTTAGTTATTGGCTTCCTTCACTTAGCACAGCGATTTTCAATCTTTTCCATTTTCTGGCAAATGAAAAACTAATTAATAAAATTCCGTGGCACACCAAAAAGTGTATTTTTTGCCGAATCTGACCAAAAAAATAGGATAATTTGGATTCATTCACACCAGATGGCTGTTGGGTTGGCTGTTGTCATTTTCTTAGACAGTCTAAGGGAAAAAAGATCAGTGCCCCTGACTAAATAGTCAGGCATTGCATGTTTTAGAAATTCTTGTGGCACACCTTTGAAAATTGCTGACTTAGCATAATGTATGCAAGATTCATCTATGTTGCAACATGTATCAGTACTTCATTCCTTTCATGGCTGAATCCAGTGTATGGATATACACATTTTATTTCTCCATTCATCTGTTGATGGACATTTGGGTTGTTTCCACTCTTTGGTTATTATGAATAATTCTATGAGTAGTTGTGTACAAGTTTTGTGTGTGGACTTGTTTTCAGTTCCCTTAGGTATGTATACACCTAGGAGTGGAACTGCTGTGTCATTGGTAGCTCTGTGTCAAATTTCTTTTCCAGAGGCTTGTACCATTTTATATTCCTGCCAGCAATGTATTAGGGTTCAGATTTCTCAACATCTTAACCAACACTTATTACAGTCCTTTTTGTGATAGCCATCCGAGTAGAGGTGAAGTATCCCCTTGTGTTTTTGATTTGCTTTTCCCTAATGACTAATGATGTTGAGCATCATTTCAAGTGCTTACTGCCACTTGTATATTTTCTTGGGAGAAATGTTTTCCAGATCCTTTGCCCACCCATTCATTCATTCATTCATTCATTCATTCATTCATTCATTTAAAATATGTTTTTATTGAGAGAGAGGAAGGGAGAGGGAGAGAGAGAGAAACATCCCGATTGGGGATCAAGCCCACAACCTGGGCATGTGCCCTGACCAACCAGGAATCAAACTGGCTACCTTTCAGTGCACAGGGCGACATTCAACCAGCTGAGCCACACCGCTAGGGCCCTTTGCCCATTTTCAAATTGGATATTTGTCTTCTTATTGTTGAGTTGTAGGAGTTCTTTATATATTGTGGATACAAGTCTCTTATCAGATACATGATTTGCAAATATTTGCTCCCACTTTGTGGGTTCCCTTTTAATTTTCTTGAAAGTCTTTTTGAAGTACAAAAAATTTTGATGAAGTCCAGTTATGTATTTTTTTTCTTTTGTTGCTTGTACTCTTCGAGTCCTGTCTGAGAAACCATTGCCTGATCCAGGGTCGTGACATTTTACGCCTATGTTTTCTTCCAAGAGTTTTATAGTTTTAGCTCTCATATTGATGACTGCATTCAGTTTCATGTTTGTTACTCTTTCCCCATTGAATTGTCTTGGCAAACCTTATCCAAATTCTGTTGTCTGCAAATGTGTATTTATTTCTATACTCTGAGTTCTACTCCATTAGGCTATATGTTTGTCCTTCTGCCAACTGGACCTTGACTTTTGAGCCCAGGTTTCCTGGAGGAGCAAGTACCCTCAGGGCAGAGTGGTTTGGCTTGTGGAAATTCCCCTTGGCCCTGTAGGCTCTGGATTTACCCCAGCATTTGGCGTGGCAGTTCTTCATTATCCGGTCATTCTTCGGTGCTTTTAAGATGATGCTTTATTTATTTTATTCAGCATTTTTCATTGTTTTCAGCAAGAGTTAGTTTTAAAAATCTAGCCTACCAAAAATACTGCCTGAGGCAGTATTTTTCTGAGACAATTAATTTTGGGAAGTAGGGAAATGATTCCTGGCATCTTAAAAAATGATCACTTTTTACTACTATTGCTTTTAACGCCAGATTCCTAATAGCTAATAATAATAGCAGCTTTCATTAATTGAGCACTATTTTTGTCCCAGGCTTTTTACTGGGGGGCATTATGTATCCTTTTTAACCTCATTAACACAACAAATCTCTAAGATTATAGGTATTAACATTATCATTTTATCATTTTTCCTATTTTACGAGTGAGGAAACTGAGACGTGAGAGGTTCTAAGACTTGCCTGAGTATGTCTAGTGATGATTAGCTGACTTTTACCTAGACCCAAGTCCTTGGACTCCAGAGCCAGGCTCGGAACTCTATGGGGCCCCTCTTCTCCTTGTCCCAGTTTCAAATTCTTGTATAAAAACTGGAAGGCTTAAAGGACTGAGTTTTGTCTGCTGTCATTTCCCTGTCCCCCTTTGGTGGAAATGTGAACTTGGACAGGCAGGAATTCTGTGGAGAGACCCGACAGTTCTCACCATTCAGGTATCAGTAGGGAAGCATGTTTAAAACTTCTCACTCCTGGGCTGCAACTCTGGAGTCTGAAGCACCAGACGGAGTCTTGCCCAGGAACCTGAAGCTTTCATGTGCTCCGGAAAGTGTTGTTTTAGTTGGTCATGGTCCCCAATTTGAGAAATCTTGTTTACGGGTTACATTATGAATCACAGACATTGTGGACTTATTGTTTAATCCTGTTTCTGTTACTGAAGGGCAAGTTTATGTTTTGCCAGGGTTTGGGAATGGCCCTTTCCCCCATTAGTCCCTTGAGAAGAAGTTGAGATGTCAGTTATCTTGAAAGGAGAAGTTTACCTTTAGTGCTTTGTAAGCCCTGCTGTTGGGTAGAAATGAGAGAGTTGAAGCCAGAACACCACTGCTGGTAATAATGACATGGGGCGCTGAAGGGAAAAGTGAAGTACCTAGTTATTTTAAAGAAGAGACAGCTCAACCTTTTTTTCTTTGTCCCACTTGTTCTCAGGTTGTGAAGTGGTCAGACTGTTGTTTGCCGTTAGCTTGCAGACCTGGGGACCCCTATCAGTTAATCGCCAAAGCAAGCGTGGATGACTTCAGCAAGCTGGGGGTGGCGTTCATGGAAGATAGACTCCAGATGGCTAATGGACTGATACCCCAAAAGATTGTTTGTAAGTAGCTTTAGATGTTTTCATCATAGCAGATGTCATAGGTTATTAGCTTAAGGACTGTCGAGCACTCTTACTTGGTATGACTTAAGGGAATGCTTATTTTCAGTTTAGTTCAGTCAACAGGTTAGATTCCCATAATAGTATAAAATTCATACATGTGTCAGGTTTTTTCAGGCTCTTACCCCTGAGTATGTCATTAGTGCTTTTAAAATTCTTAAGGATATCCCATAATTTCATTGTCTGTGAGCTGGCATTCAAATTCAGAACCCATGTAATATTTATTTCTCCCAATTTAGTACAGAATAACTAGTTTCTAGACTTTAGTTTGATCGAATGGAATGCATAGCCAGTGTTACTATGAAGTTCTAAATCTTAGCAGTTTTTTTACCTGAAGTCTTTTTTTTTAGGAAGCATGCAAACTGTTCTTCCTTAATTAGGCTTCAAAGCTGGCTTTCTGTGTCCATGAATGTCTTCATTTGTATCTTGAGCAAATGAGTGTCACTTACCAGCTTGGAAACTTGTAGATCACTTAATTTCCCCATTTGCCATGTGCATGTGCCTAATACCATGTCAGACATGTAGCAGATGCTCACTAAATGGTTTTTGACTCAGTGGTTGTAAATTATATTCCAGTCCTGAGACCAGATACTGGAAAGACCCTTCTCCCCGGTTGGTCCTATGAAATGTCCTGGGAGTGACATTTTCCTGGGGTGTGCCTAGATAGACTCTAGATGAGTACTTTTTTGTTTTGTAGTTTCATTATCATATAGGAGATTGACCCCCAAGAAACTGAGTCTAGGAGTAAGTAGACAAAATTACCTCTCTGAATCTCACTTTCTTCCCTAGTCCATGAAGGAATCTGAGGTTTTCTGATTCGTATGGGAAAGGTGTTATGGATACTTGGATTTCACTTGAGATCATCAGGGGCCCCTTTCTAGCAAGTGGGAGCAGTTATGTGGTTCCAAAGGATGGCACAGAGTTGAGGTGGGGATGCAGTAGGAGCTGTGCAGGTGGCTGCCCGGGAACGTAAGTCAGGGAACACGGAGTGCGCCATGAGGTTTTGAACTGAGCTGCGTGACAAACCAGAAGAATTGATTGTCTTTTCTGCTCATGCTTTAGCGGTGCACCTGCAGGACTCCGCTCTGAAGGAACTTAAGGACCAGGCTGCTAACAAGCCATCCCACATCCTGCAGCCGAACCCTGAATCTGCTGTCGAGGGTGAGCTGGGTCCGGGCGTTATGGAGCACGTTGGTAAAGATGACCCAAAGGTTCTTGGTGCAGAACCCACCCAAGGGCAAGGCGGTGCCTCTGGGAGCGAGCCTGCTGGGGAGAGCGACGGAGAGGGCTGCGTCGAGCTCTGTCACCTCCATCTGTCTAGTTGCCACGAGTGTTTGGAGCTGGAGAACAGCACCATTGAATCCGTCAAGTTTGCATCTGCAGAGGACATTCCAGATCTTCCCTACGACCCCAGCGGCAGTTCGGAGGGTGTTGCTGAAGTTACCTGCCGGGAGAGAGAAGGGAGGAGAGCCAATATGACGGGAAAGGCACCCAACATCCTCATCTATGTGGGCTCCGACTCCCAGGAAACCCTGGGCAGGTTCCAGCAGGTCCGGTCTGTCCTGGCTGACTGTGTGGACCCCGATGGCTACACGCTTTACCACCTGCCGGGGGACAGTGCGCTCAGAGACCCGTGGTCAGACAACTGCCTGTTGTTGGTCATTGCCACCGGGGAGTCTATTCCCAAAGACCTGTACCAGAAGTTCATGGCCTACCTTTCTCAGGGAGGGAAGGTGCTGGGTCTGTCCTCGTCCTTCACGTTTGCCGGCTTCCGGGTGACCAGCAAGGACGCATTGCAGGCGACAGTCCAGAACTTGGTTTTCTCCAAGGCTGACGGGAGCCAGGTGAAGCTCAGCGTCCTGAGCAGTGGCTGCGTTTACCAGGAGGGCTCCGGGGAGTGTCTCAGCCTGGGCGGGCTCCAGGGCCACCTGGAGAATGATGATGAGGACAGGCTGATTGTGCAAGTGCCTTTTGGAGCACACGGAGGAGAGGCTGTTCTTTGCCAGGTAGGGTGGCAGGTTTCCCTCTAATGATCCTTGGGTATCTCTGATGGGGTGTATCTCCATACAGCTGTACATGGGAATATGCCTGTGTGGCTGTGCATTGAAATGTTTGAGAGCCTGCACTGTGGGGCACTTTGACCTTCAGGCTGAGAGTTTCTGCTGATGTGAGTAGATGGTTTAGATCAGGGTTTTCCTGTTACATGAATATCTCATCTAACGGAAATACTTGTGATAAAGGAGTGTGACAGACGGTGTTATGGCTAATTTAAGATTGCTGGTTAACCTAGGATTAGTCAGAAAATTCTTTCTTGCTTTATTCTGTACTGGTAATAATCTTTCTAAAATACATTAGTCTGCTCCCTTGCCTCAAAGTATGCTCTGGTTAATATAATCAAACCTTTACTTAATGTAGCTAGTTGAATGCCTTGGGTGGTGATTCCAATGTTAGTAGCCATTACATTACAGTATCATAGTTGATGTCAGGGGTTTCTATGATTGCTCCCCAACTGGTGGGGCTGTGAGTGTTGAAAACATCTTCAAATCCTTAGTTCCTTTCTTATGATTTGTCACTCTTAAAATCTGAGTGTTGAGAAGAATTTCAGATAAGAGAATATTGAAGTGATTTAGATTTTGGGCGTATTAATATGTAGGTAAGAAAATGGAAAGGGAGATGAAAGGAAAAGGTACTTTGCATCCTTAGGAGGTCTTTTAGCTCATCTGCTGGATTTTTTTTCCCTACCCTTTTCCATTTAACTTTTTGTTTGTTTTTTTAAGCAAATGGTAGCAGGATAGACTAATTTAAAATTCCTAATCACTTACTGCAAATCTTTTATTGTCTTTGGGTAAACGTTTTTGTTCAAGTTAGATTAACACTCTCCTTGAGGATTTGGTGAACTAATGAGACCACTAAGGAGATGTCGATATTTTGCTCAGAATAGTTGCCAGGATGAGTGTAACAGATTTTGTTTTATTATAGGAATTTTTTTATTGAATTAGAGAACTGTTTCCTTTTTTATTGTTGTTTGTTTTAATTTTGTATACTCTCTCTCTTTTCAGCCCTCCTGAGTCTCTTTGGTTTTCTGACCAAACATATTTCAAGGGTATATAGATTTGTTTCTTTACCGTTTTCTCCACTCATTTGTTCTAAGATGCATATAAATAAGGAATCTAGACATCAGGAAGGATGAACATGGACAACCAATCAGGTTTTCTCCAGGTTGCAAGCCACATGAACTTGTTTTTGGGAGGCCTAATACATGTCCCTCTTATCTTTTCCCTGCAAATATGGTAACTATAGTAACCGTGCAGTCTCAGAAAATCCACTCTAAAACCCGACTTCCTAGGGCCGTATTTCAGTTTTGGAGAATGAATTTTACCACCCCGGTGCACAGACTTGTACTAGAAAATTGATTAGGCACTGTGGCGATCTGTTTCTCTGAGTTACACAGCAGATCTCCTTGCTGCACCATTTAAATTGACCCCATTACTGTCATAAAATTTGATACTGCATGCATTGCTCTAGAAAAAAAGGCAATATGATGCAGCTTCAAAAATCAGATTCAGAGGATTAGACTGTCATTTTTGAATTTAAATGATTTTCAGTCTCTGTGACAGGGTCACTGTTTTCTCCTCAGGCCTGTGTCACTATGATACCTCGCCACCGAGATCAACCAGTAAATATCCTCACAGGCTGGTTAGTTTCCTCTTTCCCTGTTCAATTTCATAGCCTTCATCTTGGCAATAAATCGAGTAATGATGTAACCCAGTAAGAGGAGGCGAAGTACTTCAAGGGCAGACCACAGCTGCAAAGTAGGTGGTGGTCTGGCGGCCAAGGAGCTGCACCATGGTGTTGTTGCCATCCATGGAGAAAAGGGGGTTTGCAGCACCACCCACTAGATGCTAGTAGCACCCCCTCCCTCTAAAAATTTTAATTTAGAAGAAGCCAAGTTACAGAAATCACTACGGTGACAGCATTGCAGCCAGAGGAGACACTGGTCGGATCTCATGGAGGACCCCAGTGCACATTCCGCACATGCACGCTTTGCTGCTTGGTCTGAACCGAGGTGCAGAGCCAGACCTGGCCTCTCTTCTCGCTCCATTGTAGAAGTTTCTAATCTTGTGATGGACAGGAGCGCTCCTCACACAGTCTCAGTGCCCCCCCCCCCC